ATTTTGACAAAAATTCATAGATATGTGATAGTATTTTTTATACAACCAATTCTTATAGTTACAAATATCGATATAAGTAGGTATCGATACTTTTAGCCCGATACTTAGTAGGTATCGATACTTTCTTTCTTTCTTTCCAAGTTCAGGTATCGTTTTATCCCTAATTACAGCAGATGGCATTAGTTAAACTTTACTACAGAGAAATTACACAGAATTTTCTGTAGGTAAGTTTAACTATTGATTTAACTATACTCTAAAATAGATAAGTTAACGGCCCTTAATGAATTTTTTATTTAATACATGGTGTGACAAAACAAAAAAAAAATTAATATATTTAGCATAAATGAATATACCAGCATAAAAAATCTGCATACTCAAAATTCAATACGTCCTCGTATTTATACATACATAGTATGTATATAATTTAAGAGAAGATATTTCGCTGCAAAGCAACGATTATAAATTGTTAGTTTACTACTACTAAGTACTATGATTTGAGGGTATGCACCTGGAATATCCGAACCCTTAATCGGGAAGGTGCCTCTGCCCGGCCGGTTGATGTCCTAGAGAAAATAAAGGCTGACGTCACCGCCATACATGAAATGCGATGGACGGGGCGAGATGGTAAGCGTGGAGCCTTGCGACGTCTACTATAGTTGCCACGTAAAGGAGCGCAATTCGGTGTTGGATTTGTGGTGAGGGAGAGGCCGGCGTTCACTATAGTGGACGAACGTCTAGCCACAATCCGCATCAAAGCGAGATTCTTCAACATCTCGCTCATATATGCTAATGCCCCGATGGAAGAGAAGGGCGAGGCATCCAAGGATCTCTTAGCTTAGAGCGTACATATTAGCGCTACCCCGACATGTATAAAAATCGTGCTTGGCGATTTAAATGTCAAGGTGGGCAACGAAGGGATCTTTGGCGCCAGTGTCGGAAAATGCAGCCGCCACATAAAAACGGCGGGCTGAGGCTGATCGATTTCGCCTGGGCCCGAAATTTGGCAGTATGTAGTACTGGATTTCAGCATAAAATGATCCATCAAGCTACATGGTTGTCTCCAGATCGAAAAACGGGAAACCAAATCGAGCATATTGTGATAGACGGAAGGCATGCTTCCAGTGTTTTAGATGTACATACGCACACTCCGAGGGCCAACCATCTCACCACTAGATTGATGCAGCCAATATACGACCCCACCTCGGTGCAGCAAAAAAAGGGCCCCCAACAATGCAAGGAAAGTTCAACGTCGAAAAGCTGCAATCAAAAAGACGGCCAATGGATTCGCAGCTCGACTCTCACACCTGCTGTGAGAGAACACTCTTCAACAAACTGACATACGCGAGCAGAGCAACCACATTTCCCGCTCATTACTGGTACGATAAGAAGTGTCAGGAAAGCTGCAGAGAAAAATGCTTGAAATGCTGGCCGACAAAAAAAAACACCCGAAATTTTTAGCAGAGAGTTGAGCGACTTACGGAAGGTTTCAAGATTCCTGTAGGAACAACCATGACGACCTAGTGGCCGATGTCCAGAACGTACTCAAATTATGGAGGGAACACTTTTGAATGGCATAAGCATTGAGAGAAGTGGAGAAGACGAACCCGATTCCCAATCGATGACGATGAAGTCGATATCCCAGCGCCTGACTATGACGAGGTACGAATAGCAGTTATGCTGATGAAAAGTAACAAAGCTGATTGAGCTGACGGTCTGTCAGCTGAGCTATTCAATTACGATGGCAAAAAGCTAACATGGTGCATGCCTGACTAAAATTCAAGTGCTCTCTGCCCAACCCACAAGAAAGGCGACCCCGCCATGCGTGCCAACTACCGCGGGATCAGCCTTCTAAGCATAGGTTGCAAGGTCTTGTCGAATGTATTGTATGAAAGACTGAATACCACCGTCAATGAACTGATTGGGCATTATCAGTGTGGCTTTAGACCTGGCGAATCCACCATAGACCAGGTATTCACAATACGTCAAATCTTGGAAAAGACCCGCGAGAAAATAATTGACACTCATCACCTTTTTGACTTCGACTTTATAGCCGCCTTCGGCAGCACTAAAAGGAGTTGCCTATACGCCGCTATGTCTGAATTTTGGCATCCCCTCAGAACTCATACGGCTGTGTAAAATGACGCTGAGCAATACCACCAGCTCGGTCAGAATTGGGAAGGCCCTCCCCGAGCCGTTCGCCACGAAACGGGGTTTCAGACAGGACGTTTCCCGGGAGGGGAACGGTACATAACGGTAGGAAATTTAGTTTGGGTTAAACACTCACAGTGACGGGGTTAGGCTTTCGATGCTTCCTCCTCGTAAAATAAACATGCGGAGTATAAAGTTAAATATTTAAATCGACGAATAGTTTTATATAAACTTTTGTGAACTTCTGTTTATGTGTTTTTGTACAACATATTTATCTCTATCGGTTACAATAATTTTAAGCTATAATAAAAAATTTTTTAGTACACTGAGAAAAGGATTAGTTTCGACAACTAAAGATATCTAGTTCCCGAATTTTGACAATATTTGGGAGCTGTGACTAAGGATTGGGAACTATTACCATGGGTTGGTAATCATAACTAAATATATTAAAGCTTCTTATATTCATCAAGGTTGTACCAAATCGTTAATGTAGTTGAAGGGTTTGGTATATACTAATAAATACTTTTTTGAAGCATATTTCTACAAATTCCAGTCAACTTAACGTATGCTTCATAAAAGGATGTCATTAAGCTCTGCTAATACAGATAAGCTTTCTTTCAACACATGGTTTAGTCATAGTTACCAAATCTTAGTTGAGGCAAACGCGATTTGGTTTGAGAGCGGAACATATTCATGCTTGTGAGCCACCCCTAAATCTCAGTATATCCAGTAAAAAAACTGTGGTGAAGTCCTTTATGGGGATAAAGTTTCCAGAGATGAAATTTTAGGTAGCACACAATTTCTTACACGCATGGTTGCTTTTCAGCACTCATGAAAGAAACTTAAGAAATATTTGAAAAAAAGTTCATATAGTACATTAATTTTTGAAAGAAATACCATATAATGTATGTACTCTGGTTAATAATATCAAGAAATGTATTAGAACCACCGTTTAATGTTATATTTGATACCAATTAATATTGCTGCCCCGAACGCTCTGCGCCTTGCCCCTGAATAATAGTTCACTTAAAATTACATCCCTGGTCCTTGTTCTTTCTGTATCGCATCGTGGTGAATTCACATTTCTCAGAAATTTGACAACAAAACAAAACAAAGCGAGTATTTTATTTGCTAATTTTTGCGATCTCTATTGTTTAATGTAAATTTATGTCTTTTTAGGATATCGTCGTCTCAGAAAACGGTTGACGAATGTGCAAAATCACGATTTTGGGATTTTGATGCAGATTTACTAAGTTGGACATGCTCTTTCGATTTCTGCAATCCATTTTTTTATATCTCCATTAGTTTTTGAGATATTTCGTGCGCATTTTGTCGTATGTTACATAATATTAATGATTGGGTATGCCTTTTGTTGTATGTGCTGAAAATGCGTCACATACGACAAATTCCCATACAAACGTACCTTTTTTTTTAATCATAAAACGTTTGTCGTATGTGGCACATACGACAAATTCCCATACAAATGTAATCTTTTTTTAATCATAAAACATTTGTCGTATGTATCGCAAAACTTTGAACTTACGACAATTGGATGGTCCTCTACTATAACGATACAATTAAAATTGAAAATTAAACTAAGTAACTAATTTTAAAATTTTAAATCTTTAAATTTTAGCTTGCACTGAGTCTCCAATGAAATGAAAGAGATAAAAATGTACAAAAGACTGAATTTAAGTATTGTTTTTTGTTTTTATATAAAGAAAACGTATGTTCGTAACATATTTACAGCATAAGAGATGTACAGATTTTTTTTATTAAATACATGATTATGTTTTTGTTATGTTTTTTCTAATAAGTAATCATTATTTAATAAATATGTCTGTTTTTTTCATCAAATTATACCATCGTCGTTGAAATAGATACTTTACTATTGTCGTATGTTCTGTGGACAAAACAAAGTGGTGAGTAAACGCTACTTACGACAAATGTATACGGAATGAAAAGTAAATTTTCTCATTAACGTTAAGAGATATTAAATGTAAAAATATGGGAAATCAAAACTAATAACACCAACTACGTCTCCTTCAAAAGTTACAAAAATCTACCGTACAGTTTCGGATTAATTCGACCTTAAACTTCAAAGTCAATTTTCTCAAAACCGTGTTTTGTAACATTCGACATCCGTTTTCTGAGACGACGATATGTCGAGCCAACAAAGAAGGCGCAGTTGGAAAATTGAGTAATTAGTAATGAAGTAGCAGGCATATTTGGAAAATTATGCCGATAAGCAGGATGGAATTTGGGAAAGTAAGTGCATGGTTGCAGCATATCTATGTATAAAAAGTATTTAATTAAATTGTTTATAGAAATGTTATAAATCGAGTGGCTCATTTACGATGTGCTCCAAACATTTAGCGAACTTTTTTTCGCCATTTCAACGTGCTAAGTAACAAGTTAAGAGGACTGCCATTACGGCCGGTAAGAAACCGCAAGCAAAGGGCAGACAACCTTCCAGGAAGCTGCCTCCTGTCCCCGAGTCGAAGCTGCAGTTCAGCAAGAGCAGGTCAGCAAATTGCTACCCTGATCAAACGTAAACTAAAGCGCTGTGCTGTGATTGCACTCTGTAAACGAGAAAACTTGGTGCATGCTGAGAAATATCACACAAGAAAACTCCGTGATGGACGCTGTGAGATGGAGGAGCGCTGTGTGGCAAAGAAATGCGGCCAATTCGACGGGCCTGAAAAATCCAAATTGGCTTTTGTGATCCGCATCCGCGGTATCAACAAAGTTGCACAAAAAGTGCGTAGTTTTACAGTTCTGTCTTCGCCACATTAAAACGGTGTGTTCAACAAATTGAGCAAGGCAACCATTAATATGCTACGTATGCCGAACCCTATATGGGGTTATCCAAATCTTAAAGCGTAAGTTAGCCAAGACTTAGACTTAACTTAGTTTTCTTAGAAACGTAGAGATTCTTACTCAGCACGTCATCGCACTTTTGACATTTTCTTCTTTGTTTTGATTTGCGCGTTTTCTTGAAAGTTGTTTGAAATTTCATTCCGTTATTTAAATTCTTTGAAAACGCTATTTTGTGTGAATAATTTTAAAACTAAAAAATGACAGAAAAATTAAGATTGTGCAAAATGTTTTTGGATTTAATAAAAATGTACAAAGCATGTAAAATGCGCCGACGTCAACAGAGAATTAGGCGGTGGGGTATCCATCCAATAAACCGGAATTGGTTAAAGAAGGGGTACCACCGTCAAGTGTTCAAAAGAATAAAGGACATGACGGAGGAGCAATTGTTCCAACACACAAGGATGACTCGTTCGGTATACAACTTGTTGCTTACTTTGGTGGCTGATGCTTTGCGCAAACCAAGACAACGTATTGGTGTCGAAGAGCGTGTTTCGTTGACCCTTTTGTAAGATAATTTAAGGTTTTTTTCAATATCTTTATAAATTAATGCATAATTATTTTTTCATTTTAAAGGCACTTGGGACATGCGGCACCAATCCAAACTCTAGCCTGGAGCTATAAGCTGGGTAGGACAACAGTGCGTAACATCATTCTGGAAACTTGCGACGTGTTTTGGCGATTGCTTTCACCTATCTATGTAGCGGAACCCACCGAAGAGCAGTATAAAGATATTGCCAACGATTTTCAAACAATGTGGAACATGCCAAATTGTGTAGGTGCAATTGATGGGAAACACATCGCCTTACAATGCCCTAGGAAGTCCGGTTCGATGTTCTTCAACTACAAGAAATTTCATAGTATAGTCTTAATGGCCGCTTGTGACGCGAAATATACTTTCACGGCCGTTAGTATAGGAAGCTATGGTAGCCAAAGTGATGCAGGCAAGTTATAATAAAATAATTGTCGGCAATCCGAACTTTCATGTTTGCATTTATTTTTTTATTTCACAGGGACATTCCAGGTCTCGGAATTTGGGCAATCGCTAATTTCGAATACTTTGCCATTACCGCCTGATAGACCGCTGCGCAGTGGAGCTGAACCCTTTCCTCACTTTTTTGTAGGAGACAATGCGTTTCCTTTGAGGCGAGATATAATGAGGCCATATTCAGGTACCAATTTAAATAGAAGCAAACAAATATTTAACTACAGGCTTTCGCGGGCACGCCGAGTAGTCGAGAATAGTTTTGGAATTTTGAGCGCTCGATGGCGCATTATTCGCCGAACTTTTGTAATGCTAAATGACCAAGAACGTTGGTATTGTCCTAATAATT